CCTCTCCTCTCCTCTCCTCTCCTCTCCTCTCCTCTCCCTTTTGTGTAGAATCATAGAAGCACAGAACGTCCCGAGTTGGAAGAGACCCATAAGGATCATCGAGTCCAATACCTCCTCAGCAGCAGCAGGGGTTGGGTTTTGGAGCACTCCTGCTCACTGAAGGATGTATGCAGGGTCAGCTGGGAGGATGCTAAGAGAAATCACATAGTTTTTTGCACTTTTTTCCTGACAACTCAAATACTCCATAAAACACAATGCCACTTCCCACTCCCATCTATCCAGGAGCATCCCTTAACGTAGTGGCATAAACTTGATGCTGACATTCTCAGCTTCCCTTTTTTCACAGAATCACAGAATGGCCAGGGTTGGAAGGGACCTCAAGGATCATGAATCTCCAACCCCTGCCACATGCAGGGCCACCAACCTCCACATTTAATACTAGACCAGGCTGCCCAGGGCCACATCCAATCTGGCCTTGAACACCTCTAAGGAGGGAGCATCCACAACCCTCTCTGGGCAGCCTTTTTCCAGCACCTCACCACTCTCACAGTAAAGAACTTCCCCCTGAAGTTAAGGCTTTATAACAGACCGACTAATTAATGTGCAGCTTGCTAGGCCTAAGAATCCATGAGCATCCTCAGGAGTCTGAAGAGAAAGGTCATCCTGTCCATATCCAAGGCAGGTCACCACTAGACAGGTAAGAAAATGGAAGAGTCCCTTGGCACTCAGAATACTTTATCTGCCCTCTTATATGCTCACAAATGGCTATTGTAAGCCACGTTTTCCCTTCACCAAAAATACAAAACCAACAGAGGTGCATGTTTTTCTGCTGATGCTGGTGATGCCGCAGGTCCCAGGAGGATTTCTGGGTAGTGAGGGAGCTGCCCATATATTTTTGTGTACAGGGGAGCTGCTTGCAAGGAAGGCTCGCTAATTAGGGGGAAAATATTTGATCTCCATAGGCTTTTGGTGAAATATCTGAGAAAGGCAGCAGATGCTGCTGAAATTATTTTTCATCTGTTTTCCCCTGTTTTCTTACCATCTTTCATCTGTTTTCCCCTGTTTTCTTATGTGGTGCATTAAATTAAAATTCAATAAACAGCTCATGGCTGTTTATTGGGGAGCGCAAAAAACTTGCTCTAGATGAAAGCTGGTGCCTCATCCAGTGCAGAGTACGTGCACTCACCCCAGCATCCCTCTGCCTTACTTCTGAAAGCCACAGATTACACAGAGTCTTCAGCAAGGAGTTGTCAGACTACCCAAAATGTGTTGTAGCACAGCCAGCCTGTATTTCTCCACTGGGTCTGATGTCATCCTGCTAAGTACAGCATCTAGATGATATGGATTTGTAAGGATCTGCCTTGTATCACTCCTTTGCCCAGTAGTTAAGCTCCTCTGATAGCCAGAAAGCTGCTGATCAGGCTCCTCAATCCAAAAAGAAAACCACCAGAGATGTAGGACAGTCATGATGACCATCCACAAGGTCTCATGGAGGTATCTGACTTCTTCAGAGTAGCTTCAGGTGGGGGAATTTTGAAGACCAGAACCTGAATCCAGGTGTGATCTCTTCAGTTCTAAGAGGCTTGAGAGACTGAAAGCTCCATTTTGGAAGTTTCAGCCCTTGGATGTGCTGTGTCCTGCATCACAGGCAGCACCATTCGAACAGAAAGCAATCACAGACTTCTCTCTCTCTGGAGAACCAGTCCAAGGGTCTGTGGAGAATCACTTACACAGACTGGACATCAAACGCTGCCTCAAATCCCAAACCACGTGGTTTTGGTTGTAGAGTCAAAGCAAGCATCTTTATGAGTTTGTCTTATTTCAACCCAAAATCATCTACAGGACATTCCATTCAAGCCCACTGGACAGGTCAGTTAATTATGTTGAGTGAGTCAATAGATGGATCAATTTATCAAATGATAAATAGAGATTCTGCTTTCATCAGGGTAGTGAATATTAATTGATTTGACAGGCAGAAGCTTGGTAAAACAAGTACAAGTTGCATCAGGGCATCACTGTATTAATTAGCCATGTTGAAGCTGCTTTTAGCTGCTTCCGAAGTTTAATCAATATGCTACATTTGAGTCCCAAAAGGCTTATGGAAACAGCCTTTGAAATCCTTTAAATTGCTGCCTCTGTGAGGTTTTAGACTCCTTGCTTATTCTTGTTCTGCTGTTTTTCTTCCTTATTTTTTTTTTCCCTCCTGCAATCAATAGCGACCCACAAGAACTGGTAGGGGTGGGTTTTCTTATTTGTATCACAAATTTACATTGGCTAGGAACAGAAATAAAATGAAAAAGATCTTCTGTTTTAGTACAATAATAGTAATAATCCTAGACATTAATGAGCTGCCCTCTGTCTTCCAGTTTCTATATGCAGTAAATTACCTCTATAGACTTAATCTGATGTGAATGAGCAAGGCACCAGTTAAATCATGTTTTCCTGAGCCCTCGCGTACTGCTCAGACTTTGATTTAATACAAAGTAAGGTTTGAGCTTGCTAATGCATTTTACTGAGTGGGAGGAAGGAGAAGGTGGAGCTGAAAACGAGGCCAGAGAATTAAACTATGCAGAGAAAAGGATGGAGGCCCTGAGACTGCTGGGTGCAAGGGTTGTGGTCCAGGACTGCCCTGGGAGAGCGTGGTGTCCAGCTTTGTGTGTGTATGGGAACTGTTGAGTCCCAGCCTGAACCACTGATTGAGCACCTGGTGAAAGCAGCTGGGAGCACAGGTGAAGGCAATTCAGCTGCGTGACTGGAAGGAGTGGAGCCTGGCTGCATCTTCCTTAGACCTCATATAAGGGCTGACTGCCTCTGGGGAAAGATCTCTGGTTGGAGATCCCTCCTTGGTGGAGCTTTCCCCTGCAAACCTGGAATCTTCTGGTACAGGTGAGCAATCTTCTGCCCTTCCTTTATAGCACCTTTCTACTGTGCCAGACCTTCCATCATCACACCTTTGTTGTAACACCTTTCCCATTGTATTGATCTGCCCAATTGCTACACCAGGGGACTCTTTGACAGCTGAAGTTTTTTTGTATGTCTGCATGGCCATAAGGGCCAGAAAACCACCATCATGTCTTCTGGTCACCCCCATCTGACCTGTAAATATGCAGAGATATGAAATACATTTCCTAAATATGAGTTTCTGCCCTCATAATTCGTGGTGGCTTTCTGCTATTTAAACTTCTCATCCCTTTCTAAGACAAAATATCTTCAGATATGTCCATAGTGGGTTTCCAGCACACTTCCCCCATGCCTTCAGCAATTCTGTGCATGTTGATTCCCTGAGGTCACCACTACAGATGCCACACCAGTGCAGTCAACACAGGAAGACCAACATTGCTTGAAACATTACTCAGGGCCCCAGCATAATTATAACAATTACAGAGTCAGGCCCTGAGCTGTGCTTTCTGACGCACACATCTGCCACGTGGGCTTCATTGCATGTGCAGATCCTGTCGTTAATAATGGAAGATGCCCCAATCTCTCCAGGGGCAACAGCCTTTGCTACAGGCAAGGTACTAAATCACACTTGAAGTTTCTAGGCCAAAATGTTTTACTTTTATTTTAGAGGAATAAAGTTCCAAACAAGTGTGAGGCAAATCTCCAGGCCTGATTAATCTGGCTCACCTGGTAACGTGGAGAAAGGGGAGCAGCCTTATGGGAGGTGGAAGAAGGACCATCCTGTAGAGATGGCATAGAAGTGATTAGGTGGAATTAATTAAAAAAGAATAGGTTTTGAAGAGCACTCAAGAATTTTGCATGCCACCACGCTCCAAGAGAGAGTTAACTCTTCCTATATCTGTTCAACCTCCCAGCAGCATTTTTTTTGAAGGTACCAACAATTTCTCTGCTCGTGGCCCCTGCCAACCTTCAGTCTTACAAGCACTGTGGACTTTTGAGCCAGGAGAAGGCACAAAGCCAATTTTAATTAGTGGTATTTTGCAAGCCTAGGTTGGCCAGTACCTGTTGAAGCAACCTCTGCTGCCTCAGTTAATCCCTGCCACAGTTGCAGCAGATGGAAGCTCCTGCAGAAGGTGACTTGAAGGGACTCTGTTGACATTCAGGCCTGTATGTCTTTCCTGTTTAGGATTCTTTCCTGTTTCCTTTTTCAGCCCCTCTCCTCTCACTTGGGCCTTGTGTGCTGCTGGGATGATAGGGACAGCATCTGGGACACCATAGCATGTGTGGAAACGAAGGAAAGCCACTGGGCTGCTGACCTTGTGCTCAGGCACAAACCATACTAATGATTTCCAGCACCACTGCCCAGAGCAATGATGCTCAAATCTATCCCTGTGATTTCTTCCAGAGACCCTTGAAGTGCTTGGTGGTGTACTGAGGAAAGTTCTTGGATCCCAAAGCAAGAAGCAAAGCCACATGGTGTGTGGGATGTACTCCCTCTGTCGTTCCAGTGGTGTTGCTCCCAGGAGCCTGATGTGATAGAGACCCTCCTTGTCTGTGGGGTAAGCCCTTCTCATCCCCATCCTTGAGGGTAAAAGGCCCTTTGCTGAATAGAAAAAATACAAGCCTCGTGTCACTGATAGTTTTAAAATTATAAAAGAAACCTTCCGTCAGTGGTGACACAATTACCTGCCCATTTTCCTGCTCCACCTCATTAAAGGGAAAATGTTACAATTAAGGCACGGGCAGGAGGAACAGATTAATGTTCTGTTTCTAATGCATTGATGAATTGGCACTTAGTCAAGGGGTTTAAAAATATTAAACCCTCACAGAAGCCATCCCAGAAGGGAGTGTTCTCTGCTGAGGGGCACTTCTTAGTGTGGACTGTTGGCTATCCATCACTTGTGTTAAGGGTATGCAGTGGTGTTTGCAGTGGGAGTGGGATTTGCTTAGATTTGCCTGCTGGTGTTCCATGGGGTGGCCACGTGCTCCAAAGATGATCTTCTCTAGGTGTTTCCTTTCACATAAAATCAAATTCTTTTTCGATTTGTTTGGTGTATTGTAGATATAATTGGACATCAGCTGTTCTTGTTCTTGCTTTTCAATCCCTTTTCTTTCCTTTTGGCATGTCTTTGTTAGGCATGGCTTTGTTCCACCGCGTGCAAAATTGCTTCAGTTCTTTTAATCCTGTCTTCATACCAGATCCTTGCAGCACGAAGGGGGTGCTGAGCCCGGCAGAGGTGTGAGCTGGGCCATTGCCAGTCCCCAGCCCCAAATCCCATTTGTCTTTGGGAACTCCCTGGCCCTCCTTAGGAGCCACCCCGAGGAGCAGCATGCACCTTCAATGCACGGCCTGCAGCTGTAAAGCTGCTCCAAAGGGGGCATGAAAATCTTTACCCACATTCTACACCCAATTCCAACATTTTCTAACTCAATTTCAGAGCCTTTTTGGGTCTTAAGCTGAGGCCCACCGTGCCCACGTTTGCTACACCGCCAGCACGTCTCAGCCCTCCTATAATGAAAATGTCACTAATGATAAATATTTATAGGGATGCTTATCTTTATATTTACTACCTTGACCTTTATCTATTTGGATTTTATTTTAAATTTTATGCGGCTTGCCTTTGCCTCTTCCCAGCCGTGTGGTGCCGCGGAGCAAGAAGCTCTGCAACAGCTCTGAGATCGCTGCTGCATTATAAATACGTGCACAGTACATACAATTACAGAACTTTAATGTCTGGTATAATTACTGTCTGCAGTTTGCATTAATGCTCAGGGTGATATAGTGAAGCAAGGCGCTCAGACACTGCGAGATGCGCATCCCGAGGGGCAAAGGAAAATCATTGCTCGCGATCCTGCGATTAATTATTGTGCCTTGCGTGGAGAGGCTGAGATTTTTCCCAAGCACTTCTTGCACCCATGGTTGATTGAAATGCCTACGCAGGAACGGCACTGCTGCGCATAGCCTGCAGGCAGGGCTGTGCTTTATAAGCAAGCAAAGGTCCTCAATTTTATTCTTGTAGTGTTGCGAGGGAAAATTGAGGAAAACAGCAGGAATGAGGAGGAGAACATGAGTCGATGCATCTTAAAAAGTGATGCGTGTTCACTTGCAGGAGGCTTCCCCCATGCATCACCTGGCCCAGGACCCAGGAGGGTGTGCCAGGAGATGCTGGGGGTTCGCTCTGCTCCAGAGTTTATTATTGTTAAACTTAATTAATCACTTAACTGAATGGAATTATTGAATTATTGATGGAGTTCAGCAGATCCATGGGGGGCAACTGGATCAGAGCGTCAGGGATGCTCCAGGCTGAGCTTCACAGGGCACCAACCTGTCACAGCTCCGTGGGGTCTTTGAATTGGATGCCAGCATTGCTGCCCACCACAAGAAATGGGCAGAAAACTAAAGGACTCGCTCATTTGCAGGTTGTCCTTTCTACCAGCGTGGGTGTTAGAGCAGTGCAAGTGCATATACATGTTGCTGATGGTAGGGAAATCAACCACTTCAAATCACCCACACACACACACACACAAAAAAAAATAAATCTCACTATGTCAGCCCTTATTTTTTTGGTCAGACTGGCGTCAGATGTGAACCCTTATGGCTAAGTGTGCAATCGCAGCAATTGAGTGGGTTCTGCACGTCAGGGGCTGAGAGCTGATGGGAAGAAGGAGGGAGAGGAACCCTGGAAAACTCTGTGTTGTAGGAGGACAAGGATGGATGACAGGCTGCCTCCAGGTAAGGAGACATCCCAGTGCTGGGAGGACTGAGGACCAGATTTAGCCAAGGAACCCAACAGCCATCAAGGAACAGAGCAGCTCCCGTGGCCACATGGAGAAGGGACTGGTGTCTGGAAGCCTTGGTTGAGTCCCATAGATGATTTTCTTTTGAGGAGGGGGGGGGAAACTGAAGAAATAAGATAATTGGCTTGATTGGGCTTTGCTGAAAATCTAGAAAAGGAAAAAGGGAAGAAAAAGTGCTGAGACAGCTTCTTTCTGTGTCTTTGAACTTTAGGCTTTGAAAAGAGGTGCGGAAAAGCTTAAGGAATTAACGAGGACTACTGGGAAATCACTTGCAAGGAACTTTCAGTGCTCTCAGCCCAGGAAAGAAATAGGAAGAAAATCCTTTATATGTACGTATACATGCATATATACGCTTAGATACATACGTAGCTGAGAGCATGATCCCTTCAGCCTGCCATTTATCTTCATCCCTGACGTTTTCATGCTGCATTAATGATGGGTGTTGTTGACAGGGTGGCTGGAAGGGTGAAAGCTGCATTTCCCCACGCCGGGGGCTGTGGAGGAGGCAGAGGCAGATACCTGGGGCTCCCTGGCAGCTTTTGCTGAAGATCAGCCTTGATCAGAATAGGTCTTCTCACAGGAAATATCAACTTTTTGTCAAAAAAAAGCCTGAAGATAAATATTCTTGGATGAAATCCTATAAAAAGCTCAGACTGACAAACTATTTTTTCAGGCACTTCTTTTTCTCCCAACAAGAATATATCTGTCAAGAGAAACAGATGTTCTCTATGAAAAATCTTCTTTAATTACAAGTCTGTCAAAAAGAGGTGAGAGATTTTTTTTTTTTTTTTCCCTGAGCCCGTTGAAGTGCATGCAGTCGGCCAAGGTTTAAAGGCATGGCTCCTTCCAGAGTACAATACTTAAATAATTTTCTCTGTTGAGCAGGTTGAGCAGAAGCAAAGCCAATAGCCAAAACACATTGATAAACCCACAACCGGCAGCTGAAAGCCCCCTTCAGAGCTTAGGACATCTGCACATCACACCAAATGTTGCATAATAAAATAAGAATGTCTGAAATCTTGCATTTCCAGGTGATTGTTGAAAGCTTGCATTATTTTTTTTTCGCTCCTTCTCTCCACACATCCAGTAAATACTTTAGGAAATAATGTGGGCGCTCACTTTCAGCCCTCACTTTTGAGGCCAGCCTGCTCTCCAGGGGCCTTCAGGCAATGGCAATGGGACATAAATGTTAGAAGAGGTTTCTCTGGTGTTGTGTTGTCCCAGCGTTGGCACCATGTGTTACCCAGGAGAACAAAGTTTTCCTAGAGATAGGAGCAGGACCACAAGGTTGATATTTCTTTATTTCTCGGTTCAAGTAATTGGCTACTACGTGGCTGAGTAGCTGGATGAAAATAATCAATAGTTCTTGTCCACTAATGAATGATTTTCCAGCAGTTGCCAGTGTAAATAGGTTTCATTAAAACAGCAAATCCTCCCAAACAAGAAAATTAATGAGAGCTTATGAAACCTATGAAATTGCATGGGTCTGACAGTGATGACAAATCTCAACTATTGTTATTTTTGGTAAACAGATTTTCTTTTCAATTTTCAGCCTTGTCACTTAAATAATAATACTTAGCAAATCCATTGTTTCTTTCCCAGAAATCTTCAAGTGTCTCAAGCCTCAAATCTGTGAATGGTTTCAGCCCCGGGCAGGAAATCGCCCCTTTCCTGAGCAGCTCAGCTCTTGTCATGTCATCCCTGCAGCTGCACCAATAAACTGGGAATTTTGGGAGTTTAGCTTTCAGATGAGCCCGCTTCAAATCAATGGAGCTGCTGCTTTTCGTGACTCCTGGGAATAAGATGGCATGGAAACAACCCACAGCCATGCCCGAATAAGAAAACTAAAAGAATTATTAGTTTTGGTCAAGCTGGAGCATGGCTCTTTCTTGCCCTGGCATTTTCCTAGAAGTAAGTGAAACTCTTCATCTACAGATTCAAAAGAATCCCAAAGGCACTCTGTCAGACATCTCCCAACATGCTCTCTCAGTTATTGCTGGATGGATCACAAGTTCTCCAGGGAGCAGTGAAGATGTTTTTGTGGGTTGCAAAGCCATGGTTGAGGCTCAAAGGCTGAAAATACTCAATTCTAGTGTCTGCTTCTGCTTCCAGAGGAGATATCAGCTCTTTGTCTTTGTTGTCTTCTTTGTCTTTGTATTCATTGTCTTCAGCTTTGTCTTTGCTTTGTCTTTGTCTTCCTTCTCCATTTTTCTCTCTCTGCTCCTCCTTTTCCTCCAGCTCCTAAATCCCCACCTCCCCTCCTTTTCTTCTCCCCATCATGTGTTGCATGCTGAGTGCAGGAGGCTCTCAAAGGCAAGAGCAGGCTTGGGACGCTCTTACCCACAACAGCAGCAGTGAACAGAACCCAGGTTTTCAGCCAGGAAATTGCACTGGTAATCTCCTTTGAGGGAGGCACTCCCATTTTTCATGATGGTTGGCCCTTGTGGGATATGGATGAAAAGAGAAAGCATTTCATTTGCTCTTTGAAAACGAGCTATAGATCAAGGCCCTGCTCATTCCCCTGAAGACTAGAAATGGGATTTTTGCAAGAATTGAGGCTATCCTCTCTGAAAACTAAAACAGTTATCTACACTTTCATCGAGAGGTCAGCAGTAGAGATTTTTCTCAAACAGCTGGATAAATCCAGGCTGTTAGTGCCTCTCCTTCCCACTCTCCTCTGTTATTGCTTTTTATTACACGAAGGGTGAGGAACAAGCAAATACCTCTGCTTCCCAGCTTTGCCCTTGCCTGTTTGTACAAAGCAGCCAAATATTTCCTTCTGACACTCAGGACCCAAGTACCTTTGGTGTCTATGATTTTTCCCTTGGATGCCGTGGTCTGGATGCAGATGCTCAGGGCTGCTTAATCCTAGCGGTTGGCATAGAAATGTTATTTATTGGACACAGGCATCCTCCATGGGTGCCATGGGACCAGGGCATCCTTTGTCACCTGGACCCAGTGTGATCTCCTATGACACTGGGCAAGAGGGTTTGCGGAATTACGCTGCATCCTTTGCCTCTGCCACAACTGTGATTGAGCCTGCCTGGCTTAATTCATTCCTCCAGAGCCCACACAGTTATGGCAGAGATGATTGCCTGCTCAAGGAGCAGCACTTGGGATGAAATCTTTTCCTCTTGAGAGTGCTGCAGGAAAAACAAGGCAGCGTCCATGAGCTGCCAGCATCTCTGTGTAGGCAGTGTCTTTCCTTGGCCACTTCTTTGCCATGCTCTCATCCTTCCTGACCTCTCCCTTTCTCTCCTTTAAATCCTTTTCTCTTTGTTTCATTTCTGCCTATGTCTCTTCCTATTCAGCTTCCTTGCTAGGCGCTGGAGCTGATTGCAATGGTGATCCAGCAAATCACAGTAGTGATGCTGCTGATGGAATAACTCCTTGGGTTTCCGTGCAGTTGCTGTGGGGGCACTGAGTTTCAGACAGCAGAAAAGGAGCAGGAAAATCTGATGTTTTGTGCATCAACCAGAGCTTTCATCCTCACGTTGGGAGATGGGTTTCGGAGCCCTAGCAGTCTGCCCATCCTATGGACTTAGCCAAATACTCCCAGTTCCTTCCCAAGCACTGCTACCCAGACAGGTTCTCTGTCCTGGCTAAGAGAGCTGGGCACGAATAACTCACAAATAATGGAAATCCCCACCACGTGCCCCCAGCATTGGCACAGTTCAGAGCCCTGCGAGGAGTGCACTGCCTTGTTTGTCACCTGAAGCACTTGGAAAAATTACACGAATCCATCAAAGTAATGAATCTTCTCAGCAGTGGCAAATAGACAGAGACAGACAGGCACTCAGCTGAAACAAGTCATCTTTAAAAATTAATACAAAATAAACAGCTGGCCTTTCGCTCCACTTCCAGGTGGTGGCTGCGTGGTTTGGGCGAGGGGTGGGCAGAGACCAATGATGGCTCCCAATGGGAGCATGTCTGTCCCTGGGGCAGGGAAGTGTCCTCTGCTGGGTCACTGTCACAGTGTCATGTCCATCTTCTGTTGCTCCAGGAACGGTGGTGCAACGCAGTGGTCGATGCTGCACTGTGTGAGTGACTGCTTAAATCTTCGTGATTGCCAAAGCCTCATCACCTCCCTACAGCCTTGCCAGACTCCTGCCAGCCCTCTGGGCTCCCACATCGGTTTGTCAGTGTCTGATGGAGCTTGTACACTCCTCAGAGGACAGGTTGAGCTTGCTCTCCTGCTTGTCACAATATGGGCTCCATAAATAATTAACAGCGGTGCTGCTGCTGCCCCCGAGCTTTGATTTCATTACTGAGGAATAACATACCCACCTATACATGTGTGTATGTACATGTCTGTGTGTAATACACCCCCATATGTACTTACGTTGCTTAAGCATCTGTTTCACTGGCTTTCTCTGCTTTTCCTTTGGCCATGTCTCTGTCTCTGTGGCAGGTAAGCAGCAGAAGGCACTGCTCTCAACCATGAGCATCCCACCAGTGCTCCAGCTGCTCCTGCTCTGAGGTCGGGCTATTTATGAGGTACCCATGGGGCTGCCCTTGCCCTGCAGAGTGTGGGGATGGAGAGTGAGGAGGAAGACGGATGGATCCTGAATTGAGGTGAATTTATGGGGCTCTGTGATTCCTGCTGCCGTACGTCTCCAAGAAATGACACCACCACTTCAGAAGCAGAGATTAATCTGAGTCGGCAGGAGAAGGACAAAACAAATCATCTACTGCAGGAATCTCATTTGATGCCTGTTAGTAAAAGCACCGGGATGAATGGCTTTTGTAAAGACCGCGCCGAAACGGGCTTTTTTTTTTTTTTTTTCCTCCTTTCTCTCCATTCGTCTGCAAATTGAGGTCTATGAGGTGTGTGGTGGAGGCAGTCCCAGGGTCACTCATGGCCCAGGCACAGGACAAGGACTCCCAGCAGCTTTGTGCACCGTGAGACAGGAGAGTAAAAAAGGGAAGGCAGAGCTTCTAGAGCATCATATCAAAGGGAAGAATCCTTCACTTTTTTTTTAAAAAAGGGCATTAATTCTCACGTCCTACAGAACACTGGGTCAGGGCAGCCTGCAGCCCCAGACAGAACATCCCAGCGATGCTCTGTATCCCAGCCAGCAGCAGCTGAATGCAGCCCAATGGGAGCAGTACCAGCACCAAGCACTCGTCCTGCACACCGCTGTGCATCCCAGCTCAATACACAATCAATCCGATTGATCTTTTTTTAAGGTGCAGCCTCCGAATGGCTGAGACTGCGAGAGACGCAGCTAAGCATGCACTTCCACAAAATAATTTGTCAGGCCCCGCTGTAGAAACCTAATGATGGCTGTAATTTATTGCTGACAGACGATATTTATCACCGCAGCATCCCCTCTTTCTCTTTCTCTGTCTCGTTAGGAATGGCATCAATAATGTTTATTGTAGCTTTTAATTTTTTATCGCTGATATTCTTACCTGCGCTGCTGATGGCTGCAGGAGATGGGAAAGGCGTCAGAGCAGATGGAGGCTCAGCTCTGTGCTGAAGGGTGAGCGAGGAAGGCTGGAAGTTCCTTCTGCGTGCCCATGCAGGGAGAGTGCAGTGCCAGAGAGCACCCTGATAGCAGGGAAAAGCAAGCTGCTCCCATAAAGCTTATCCCCTCCCTACCGAGCCTTTGGACCTGTGCAAGGGATGCTCAGACCAAGAAAGCAGTGGCATTGCTTTGGTTTTCCCCAGGTGCTGCTCCCACATGGGGCTGGAGAAGGAACATCCTCTGCTGCACCTGCATTGCTGTGTCTCACACCTGATGATGCCCACAAGCCCTGGGTTCACAGAGCTTGTCCCTGAAAATAACCACAACCCCAACTCCGATCTTGAAATCTCCTTTCTTTGCTTCGTTTTCCTGCAGTTTTTCCTACCCTTGAGGGAATGTGCTGCACCAGGTTTTGATGCCCCATAAAACAGTGCTTCCCAGAGGGGATTTTTTCCCCCCTTTCCAGACGTGAATAATTACCCAGGCAGCGGCTGTTCCAGCGTCGTTACAGGAGCCTCTCAGACTAGCTGGTCATTTACAGATTAGATAGATGTTGCCCACGTCGTTCATAACTGATTATGGGATTGGCAGTTTGGCTCTCACCCAAAATTCAGAGTCCTGATTTAGCATAATTGGAAATGAATGGCAGAGCAGGCTGGGGGATGGGGATGTTGCCTGCTGCTGATTTTCTAATGCCGGCTTTGGGGATCCCTGACAAGCTGCAGTGTGTTCTTTATAGGGCAATAATGTTTATGGCGTGGGTTGTCCAGGGGAGGAACTCCTGTGATGGCAGCGGCCACCTCCTGCATGTCCCTGATCGAAGCTGGAGAAATCAAGAATTCTGGAAGAGCAAGGAGGATGATATTAAAAAGTAATCCCTTCTGTGTCAAGGTGTGGGCTTTTTTGCTTATAGAAATTGTTCTTCTGCATTAATCTATTCTACTTTGTGCTATCCCGTCCTTTTACTGACTTCTATTTCTTCCTAAGTTTATCCCACTAAATGTTGGGGTTCCCAATGTTGACCCTTCACGCACCCACAGCCTTCCTTGCACTTATTCTCACAACCTCTCTCTGCTGGAGGCTCCAAGAGCACAATGCAATCCAGCAATTTGTCCAAAGCAATAATAACCACGGCAGGAGCAACAGCGAGATCCTGCATCCTCCCCTGCCTACACTAGCCATGGAACACCGACACTGCTGCTGGATCTGCCTGTCCTTCTTTTAGCCACCTGTTAGCAAGTCCTGGGCAAGTGACAGGTCTTGCTCTGTAGAATGCAAGCAGTGGGGCTGGAGAATTTCTGAGGGCATTTTGGGAGGGGGTGAGGGCTTTTCTTGCCCCAAGTCCCCCCCACTCCTTTCTTCTGACCACCACACTTGCTCTAATGCTCTGGCAGAGCTCTGCTTCCTGGTCCTGTGGCTTTGAGCTCATTTGTCAAATACAGTGATCTTCATGAAGGGCTGTTATTAGAGCATTTACTTCCCATTTCTCATCCTACGCTGTCATCGCTTTCCAAGATTAATTAAGGGAAGAAGATAGGACATCTTGCCTTCCATTGGTTTCCCCCTTCCCTACCTTTTGTACAGCCCCTTCATCTCCATTTCTGAGCTGAGCACCGCTGAGGAGCAAACATGCAACACTCAGTAGTTCCCTCTTCCCTCCTGTGGGTAATATATCATGGTGGTTTTTTTTTGCCTCTTTGTAAGTAGAAGTGCTTTCGTGAGCCTCATCCTGAACATCAATCCTCCCCAATGGCCTCAGCTGCCAACACTAAGCCAGGAAACAGCCCAAATCCATTGACTTACAGCTGCTGTGTTTGTTTCAGGCTTACCACCCCAGTCCCTGGGGCCAATATTCTGGCCGTGCTGCCAGGCTCTCATGATGCTCTGCATTTGGGTCACCCTGTGGCAGTCGGGTGCTTTTGTTCACTATTTGTGTTGATCAGAAACCGTGACCCATGGTTATGATAGAGAAGTGATGATGCTGGTGTGCTTCTCGCTCTTGCTGGCAGCGTGGAGCCTTCAGTGAGCAGCCAGGATGCTCCCCCCGGGTCTTGCTTTGGTCCCGCCTTTACTGATGGACGGTGGAGATGCCTCCTCATGCATGTGTTAGCAGTGATCCAGAAAAGATTTGAGGAAATGCGGATGAGCATCTGTCAGCTGCTCTTTGCATCCCCCAGGTATTCCACAGCCTGCCGTGCTGTGCGTTCGCAAACCACATCCCTGACTTTTTGCCTCTCACATGTGAGTCAGCCAAAAAGAGGGAGAAAACTCACTCAGATCATATGGTGGCTTCCCAATGGGATTCCCCAGTGTGGGTGATGGGTTGCAATGAACACCCTCATGGAAGCTTCCCCTTTGCCATGGCATGAGAGCAACAAGAACTGTTCCAGCTCCCTGAAATGAAGCAGGCAAGAGGAGGGGATGAAAGCATCCCAGCCTGTTTACCTGGCTCTCCCAGTGACTCATCCCAATGAACATCTCTCCCTGACTTTGCTGGGCTCCAGGTGCTGCCTCAGTGCAAGCCTGATCCCGTGTCTTTGTGAACCATCACACCCTCAGCTCATCAACCCCCAAGCCACACACGGAATAAAGACACGAAGCAGCAGGTCCTCAGCTGATGTGCATCAATATGGATCTCCTGCAGCCGGCAGAGCTGACTTACAACCAGCCGGGGAGGTAACCCAAAATGCTGCTCGTTGGAGCAAAAGAAATTTCTGCAGTAATTAGATCTGGAGCATGATTACCCAAAGGGAAACAAAAAACAAATGTGGGTGACAGATATTTCCAGGATAACTGCAGTTATTAATGCTTTTCTCTACCAGTGACAGGCACTAGGGATTAGTATTGCCTGAAAAAGTCTGGTTTACTGTGGGAAAAAATGAGGGCTGGAAATGAAGCAAGTAGAAGGCCATATGCTGCTCGGTGTGCTCAGGGGGTCCTGGGAGGATAGCTTTAGCCAAAACAACAAAGGCAAATATGTGAGGCATATGTGAGGAGAAACATGAACCTGTTGCTTGTAAGTTACCAGTTTGAAAGAAA